TGGTCCCTTTTGGGTACCCTAAATAGCAGGTGCCGTATTATAATAAGGACCCCAAAAGGGACCATAATTTTGACAGCCACCCAAACCCTTGCAGCACCCCTGTTCCTTACAGGAGCCCAAATTGCACCCTCCAGACCCCAAAACCCAAAACCCTATGAGTTTCTTTCGGGTTCAGGGTTGGGGGTTTAGGGTTGGGGGTTTAAGGCTTCGGGTTTAGGGTTTAGGGTACAGCATTTAGGGCTTAGGGTTTACGGTTTGGGTACAGCATAGCAAAGTCTAGTATAGTACCGTATGGTATAATACTGTACATTACAGTATAGCAAAGCATAGCATAACATAGTATGATACACTCAGCTATAGGTTCCATTCTGGCCAAAGAGTTGAATAGTCTGTTTTGGTATGATCTGCCGACGAGAGCGAGGTCTAAACCCTAAACCCTAAACCCCTAAACCCTAAACCCCTCAACCCTAAACCCCTCAACCCTAAACCCCAAGCCCTAAACCCCCCTAAGACGAGAGGCAAGGTCGATCCCGATCTCCCACATTGAGCTGAAGACGATGAGAAAGTCGAGCCACCCCCAGGCCCAGTCGCTGCCTCGTGTAGGTGACTATTAGGGCTTTAGGGTTTAGGGTTTAGGGTTTGGGGTTTAGGGTTTCGGGTTTATATACCCTGAACTTCCCTAGAGCCGGGTTTTTGGGTTTAGGGTTTAGGTGACTAAGGGCTACTAGTTAGAAAGGTTATTATGTACCCTAAACTTCCTTAAAACCTGTTTTTTTTGGGTTTAGGGTTTAGGCGCTATAAGGGTTACTATTTGGAAAGGTTCTGTCAGGGCTTTCGGGATACCTAAAGGATCCTTATAGTACCCAGTCCTTTAGCAGCCCCGGAGCGAAAATGGTAGCTCCTCAAACCTCGCAACCCTCTACTAAAACCCTAGTGTAGGGTCAGGGTATATAGACGAAGAAATTCAGCCAAGGTGCCGCAAAAGAAGCTCCGGCCATACGCAGCAATTCCTTTGCAATATTGTGCTGTTTTCACACAAATTGACTTTAGGGTTAGGGTTTAGGGTTTAGGGTTTAGGGTTCACACAAATTGACTTTAGGGTTTAGAGTCTTGGATTTGGTGCTCAGGCGTTTGGGTTTAGGTTAAACATCAAGCTCTGAACCCCGAAACGTTCAACCCTAGAAAGGCCGAGGGTACAAAGTGAAGGTCGTTGTCTTTGCGGTTGGGTGCCTGCCAGGATCACCAGATGCAAATCCCTAAAACAGAACCCGAAACCCTCAATTAAACACTAAACCCTAAACCCTAAACCCCTAAACCCTAAGATTTCAAGGTTCTTCTGCTAGGGGTGTCCGGGTTGAGGCGGAGGTCTAGGACTTGGTAACGAACGCGCGAACAAACATAAGGTAACCATACATAATCTCATTTATAGCACCAATAATACACTTGTAGCCTAACTTACTTAAGTCCCATGATCCTGCAAGTAGTGGCTCTGAGTTGCAATGTGCCCAACGAATGCTATCATCACAGTTATCTGCCATCGTGCGAGGATCCGAGGACTCACTCTTTCTGACCTGGCACTTCCTAGACTCTTCAGTATAAGTCGTTTACACCCCTTGCTTTCCACTTCAAAGTGCAGTTAGGGTAACATGAACAACCAACTCCGAGTAAGAACATGCCTAATACTACGTTGCACATGCAGGTTCAAGCTCCCGCGACATAAGTCAAATCTGCACACACCGGCAACAGCCATACGACATGAGCCTCCGCAACCGTCAAGGCTACCGTTCATGGACGACATACTGCATTTACAACATACTTATCCGTATACTAAGGCAACCAAGAGCGAACGAGACTACATAATATAGGGACTTTTTAACCAAGAGGGTCCATATATGCTGCGATTATGGACTTAGGTTCCCAAAACCACAATAAGGATGGTCGTTTGAGACCTAATTCCATAAAGGTAGTGGGCCCTCTGGGTAACAGGTTAAAGGCTACCTACTCTACTGCAAAGACAACCATGGCCGGGAGGAACCCACCACAACTCCCATGACATAGGCCGATAAAGAACTGTTTCCTGAATATTTCGAGAACCCTTGGAATCGCTCAAGTACTTCAGCTGTTGTCCAGCTGCCGTACCAAAGACTCCGAGAAAACCCTCCCTAAACCCTAAACCCTCAACCCTGAAAAACACCGAAGCCTTAAACCCTCAACCCCAACCCCCAAGCCTTAAACCCTAAACCCTAACCCTAAAGCCTTAAACCCTAAACCCTAACCCCGAAGCCTTAAACCCTAAACCCGAACCTCCAAAGCCTTAAACCCTAAACCCTAACCCCGAAGCCTTAAACCCTAAACCCTAACCCCAAAGCCTTAAACCCTAAACCCGAACCCCTGAGCCCTAAACCTAAACCCCTAACCCCAAAGCCCTAAACCCTAAACCCAAACCCCTAAGCCCTAAACCCTAAACCCAAAGCCTCAAACCCTAAACCCAAACCCCAAAGCCTTAAACCCTAAACCCCAAGAAAGCGGAAGAATCTAGGGGCCCCCGAACATCTCCTGCCTCACAAAGACTGCATGGTAGGGGCCTTAATAATTTTCAGAGGGCGCCTTTTTTAAAGGGTTCCTTTAGGGATCTTTAAAGGGCTCTATAAGGGCTACTATATGGGTGTAGGGTGTAGGGGCCTTAATAGTTAGAATATGGCTTTGGGATATATTATACTATCTATATAATAAGGAACTCCCAAAATAAAATAATTAGAATAGGGCTTTGGGGTATATTATACTATTATCAGAGTAAGGAACTCCCAAAATCGTGTTGGTAATTACTTAGGCCCTTATATTACTGTAATAGACCCCTCGCCCCTGTTCCAAACATCAATTAAGGCCCCTATGCCCGAAGTCCCGGAAGGCAAAACGTTCTGCGGGATAGTTTGTATTTTGGTTTGGATAATGATAATAAGAAACAAGGGTAAGCCCAAAAAAGTACTACATGTTGGGGTATAGGTAAAGGCCAATCAAGGACTCCTTGCCGCTAAAGAGTCGAAGAATCAGCTCCAGGAAAAAGAGTATCGTGTAAGAGTACTGAATCACCTGCTGTTTAGGTGTTTAGTTTGTGGTCCTTCTGTAATGCTATAGGGGTTTCTAGCAGGTTTGCAGAAGTGTGTTGTAGAGTTTAGTCTGATACCTTTAGGGTCCTTCAAGGGATCTTTTTGCAGGGCCAGTTCCAGGTTTGCAACTGACTTTGGTAACGGGCTTGGGCTTGGGGTTTCAGTGTTTTCACTCATTATCCATTTCGAGCCTGAGCCCACGCAATGACCTAAACCCTAAACCCGAAACCCTTTCAGAAGATTATTTTCGACTGGAGCCAAGTCCCGAAACCCTAAACCTGAAATCCTCAAGCTTAATTAAACTCTTTAATTGATCCCTCATCCAAGGCCCAAGAATCGGCCAACAGATTCCAAGAAGCCCCTCCCCCCGTATCAAGATTACAAAAACCCTTGATGAACCTCCGCCCCCATTAAGGGCTCCTTGAACAAAAATACGACAAGGGCTCCTTCAAGGGCCTCGGAGGTTCATGAGAGGTCATAAACGTACATGTGCAAACTCTGAACCTCAGTTTTGGAGTAGTCATACTTGTGCGGTTGCTCGAACTATGTTGAGACGTGTTTAGCAGGCTTCGGAGTTCAGGGAGGATTGGGCTGAGCTGAAGGTGTTGGGTTCAAGGGCGCTCACTTCATTGGTACTTCCCAGCAAGCGAGTCGTAGGGTTTAAACACAGGTCCATGTACAGAAGCCTTTGATACCTATTAAGCCCTGCCAAGACAGACCTCAAATCGGAAGCAAAATCCGGTAGCGTCGGCCTGCTGCTGTTCATAAAGCACTGTCCACTTACTTCCCCAATAGGCCAAGGTTTAGGGTTTAGGGTTTAGGGTTTAAGGTCCACTTACTTCCCCAATCAGCCCAGGATACAAAAGGTTGAACTTTCAGATTGCTAAGAAATTTGAAGACCCCTAAAAAGGCTGAAAGGTTGGGTATTGGAGAACTAAGTCCATGATATCTAGCCGGGGACCACGTGAAATCAAACATAAGTCCTTCGATTTCTCAAGCTACATGCAGCAACACTAAACCCTACACCCTAAACCCTCAACACTAAACCCTAAACCAGAAACCCTAAACACGAAACCCCCCCAACTACCCTCTAATATCCCCCAAATACCCACTATTAAAGACCATAAGGGCTCTATTAAAGGGCCATTGGGGCGTCCTGGTAAACACCCCCTCAGCAACCCCAGGTCCTCACACTCCATACCCTGAAACTCCACAGTGGCCCTGGAGCGCAACACTCTACAGCTGAAAACCTTCAGAGTTCAGGGTTTACGGCTCGAGGGGTTTAGGGTTTAGGGTTTAGGGGTTAGGGTTTAGGGTTTAGGGTTTAAGGTTTAAGGGTTTTGGGTTTTAGTTGTAGGCCGTAGCGGCCTCAATCCGGAAAGTCTGATGACTTGCTGAATAGTACCCCAGATAGTCCAAGTGCACAAATAATTCGATGGTTGTTGGCACCTAAGTTTGAAAAACTTACCCGGACCCTTTCAGTACTTGTCACCCAACGTCTGGAACGCAACCTTAACTGCCCCCCTAAACCTTACTTGGAGGATCATAGGACTTAGTAAGTAAGGTTATAAGTCCCCTAATTGGGGTTATAAGTAAATATAAGTATAGCTATTTCAATTATAACCCTACTTATTTAGTCCCATGATCCTCCGAGTATAAGCCCTGGACCCTAAACCCTCAACCCACCGCACTACGTTCAGAAGGACTTCAAGTTTTCGGCTTAAAGGTTCCGGCTGCTCGAATTGTGTATTTGTTTAGGGTTGAGGGGTTTAGGGGTTTAGGGTTTACGGGTTTGCGGTTTGAGGGTTAGGGGTTTAGGGTTTAGGGGTTGTTGTGTTTCTGTCTCTCTCTCTCTCTAACTCCCTTCCGTCCTGAACACCACTGGAGCGATTCTCCACAAAGCCTCGGGCGGCGTTGCGAATGTAGACGGTATGCTTGTTCACTCTACCCATGGGCCCCATAGTAGTTCCTTTTTGTGGCTCACATTTAGGACTAAACCCTAAACCCTAAACCCTATTCGGTAATCCCCACAAAAGGAACTACTATGGGGCCTATGGGTAAAGCTTGGGTGGTCCTCAAAATCTGACCCCTAAACCCTGAGCCTTAAGCCGCTAGTACCTTTAATTAGACGATCATCTAGGGGCTTTAGGAGGGACCCTTAATAGGGACCCTTGTAGGTTGTTGGGGTTGATATGGAGACTACCTGGCTATATAAGGGGTATGTAAGGACTATACAATGGTTATTTAAGGTAATGGGATTAACGGTCCCTATTACGGTTCCTTCCTAAAGTCCTTAGAAATTCACTTATGTTGCGAACAGTGCTACACCAAGTAAAAGTATCAGCGGAAGTGGTACTAATTCTCCAGAGTCCAGGCTTAACTGCATCAGGCCGGTAAAGGGGTCTCCAAAACGAGAGATCCAAAACCCTAAACCCTAAAACCTCATTTGACTAAGCCACGGGATTCCAGGTAGTTGCAAAGCACAAAGGTTTCAGCACAAGTCACTGTATGTGTAAGGCATTCCCTCATGAACAAACCTCTTCAAGGGCCTAAACACATGGATGTCTTTTGTACCCTCTTCTTCGACCCCAAAAGTATGTAGAATAATAGGTGTTGGGCCACTATTTAATCTACTCCCACGGGTCAAGGTTTCGAGGTAGTGCGGTTCATGCATCTGGGATCTACGCGACTCAGGAACCTTCTTACTAAACCTCAAACCCTAAATAGCAAACCCTACACACGCCGAGCGCTGCGAGGGTTAGGGCTCAAAGATATAGAAGTAATGTAAGGGCGTTAATATTAAGCATATGTTTTTGTGGTCCTTGAAAAACTATTAAGGAACTGCCAAAATAGTATAGGTGATTATTGAAGCCCCTATAGCTATATTAAACGAACAGCATTGCAGAAGCATGAAAGCCGCAACTTCCAACGCCTCGCGAAAGCTCTGCAGACCTTCGAACGACTCAGACCTCTAATAATTAAGGCCCCTATACATTAAGCCCTAATCCCTCATCCCCCCCCCCACCGAGACGAAAACCCGCCAAGACAACCCTGCCGCGGCAACACGAAGCCCTGGTGTTGAAGGTTTATGGCACCCTCGAAGATCCCTTAAACCGAAATCCCTAAACCTGAACCCTAAACCTTATAACCCGAAAAAACCCTAAACCTTACACCCTAAACCCTAAACTAGGCACCGTTATAGACCTGTTATAGGAACCCTTTGTGTCATCACCCGTTTTGGGGCTCGAAACCTTCAAACCCGAATCCCTATAATATAGAGGCCTTAATAAATAGAATAGGGTTTGGGGGTGTTATAAGCGCCGCTGCCAGCTGCGCATTGACGCGCGGCGGCTTCATGGCCGCCCCCGTGTCCTTCGTCACGTAGATGCCCAGATGGTCCGCAGAGACCTCGCAAGGAAAGTTCATGACCAGTTTCTTGCAGCTGTCGCATAGATGGAGGTCACGGGCTCTGGTCGAGTCCACCATGAGCATGCCCTTGCCCAAGCAGTGCTGAAGGGAGTTCAAAGCGAGCTCGGCCCCACTTGGATGGGCGAGTACAGCACAAGAGACGGCATGACTTCGGGGAGGGTTATCATGCCAAGCCGCACCGCGTCGTCTAAACCAATGTCGGAGACCCCATCCGTCGTTGGCGTCCCATTATAGGTCGTGTCCTCCACCAGCCGCAAGGGCATGCGGCTATACGCCGTCTGCGCATCCGGGGCCGCCGTAAAAAGACGCATGGCCGAGACACTGCAGTTCAGCGGCTTGTTGGCGTGGTGCACGATGCCGTTCTCTTTGCCCACTAAAGCCACCAATGACGTGAGCGATGGGCGCTCCGTGCCCGCATGCGTCACCGGCGTAGCTACAACCACAGGGCACAGGTGCTGAGCTTTTTTCGCGGAACCCCAGTCAACACTAAAATGGTGCCACTCTGCAGGGACAGGCAACTGGTGTCCAGCGGCTTTTGAACACTCTGAACATCCGTCATCGTATTCTGCAAGTTCGTTCCTGACAAGCTCTCAACGAGAACAACGCATACCATCACAATATCTCCCAGGATGATCAACTGCTCCAAGAAAGGTTCATCCGCATGTCGTTTATCAGCGTCAAAGTCAACGACCATGTCGTCGTTCATGATGCTGATATACTGAAAGGTTCCCTGGCTTGTAACCCAAGTTACAAATGCTGTAACCAGGGTTACAAACCCTACAACCTAGGTTACAAGTTTACTAACTTTGGATAAGTGTCAGGGGACTTGGACGAGACACGAAAAAAGTTACCATACTTATTTCATACTTATCTATACTTATCAATGTACTCTTTTTTGTTAGATCATTTTCGCCCTGTGCCTCTTCAGAATTGCTATATGTAAGACAAACGCACGCAGGAAGTTTTTCGATGCTGCACGCAGCTTTTTCGGGTCGACTGGGTCTTTCATCTCTTTGCAGACAACGTGGCCGACTGTGTGCGTAGGATTTTTTTGTCGATTCATTCACTTGTCTCCTTTAGTGTGATGCGGGTGCTTGTGGCTCAAGTGTTTGTTGGAAGTAGCAGAATGGTCATGCTGCTGGACGAGGATTATAGGGTTCCAGAATGTGCGGAATGGCACGCACAAGGCATGTCTGCGAGATGTCCGCCCGCTGTCCGCGGTGTGTCCGCGGGCGTTCGTAGTATGTATGACTCGCATATGTTCGCGGTGACCGGAAAAGCAAGAGCTGTGTGTCCGCGAATGTCCGCGTACTCTTAAGGTAAGAATAGCTCCCATATATGTGTTTTAGCAGCAGCTGACACATGTCTCTGTGTCCGCGGCTGTCTGCGGTGTCCGCGGCGATGTAGCTTGCAACGCGTGGTTTTCAATGGCTCGTTGCTGCGGCCCTCCTATAGGTAACAGCCAACTTCTATAGGTTTTCTCTGTGTCCTTGTGCGTCGACAGCGGGCGGACATCTGCCTTCTGCATGCCACTCCGCTTCTGGAACCCAAGCGCTGGGAAGGGGATGCAGTCGTCACGTTGCACTGCAAAAAAAGTCTTGCTGACGTCGACCGTGCTTCCACAGTTTTCTTGCCCTGCATTTTCTGTCCCCAAGTCCTTGACTATATATACTTCTCGGTTTTTCTGATCTGACATACCGAGA